TCAAAAACCAACTCCAAAAAGCCCCCCCCCCCCCCCGGTGAGTATAGATAGTATTCCTCTCCCCTGGTTGTACTGTAGCTACTCCTGACGAAGGGGAAAGGTGACTCTCTATCAACACAAGCTGGTGGCCGGTGTACCTCTTGGCTCCCGGCTGTAATGACAAAACAGGGAACCGTTTGCGGAATGAGAACGGGGTGAGGAGAGACAATAGGGAAAGGACCTGGCTGCTAGCAGTGCGCCCTCTAAGCTGTGGCGTCTGGTGAGCAAAAACTCTACTTTGTGAGCTCTTGGCATTAAAGTGGTGAGCAGGTGATTTGGCTACTGCATCAATGAGTCTGCTCCGGAGCCCTCCACCCTGAGCGAGGACAAAAACGTGTGCGCTGGGGGCTAAGAAACTGTGAGCTCGCTCACACTCACTCAGCTTAGAGGGAACACTGGCTGCCACCCAAGCCCGGATCGCTTACCTTTTAATTTAAGAAAGAGCCAAAGTGTGTTTTGGAAACAGATAAAGCGGCATGTCCATCTGTGTGTGTGTGTGTGTTTGTGTGGTGGGGTCAGGATCGGAGTTCCCTCTAAGCTGAGTTAGTGTGAGCTAGCTTACAGTTTTTTGGCTTCCGCTCACATTTTTATCTCAGCTCAGGAAGGAGGGCTCCAGAGCAAACGAATTTATGCAGTAGCCAAATCACTTGCTCACAGCTTTAATGCTAATAGCTCACAGAATTTTTGCTCACAAGACTCCACAGCTTAGAGGGAGCATTGGTTAGGATCAATGCTCCCTCTAAGCTGTGGGGTCTTGTGAGCAAAAATTCTACTTTGTGAGCTATTAGCATTAAAGCTGTGAGCAAGTAATTTGGCTACTGCATAAACTAGTTTGCTCTGGAGCCCTCCTTCCTGAGCTGAGATAAAAATGTGAGCTGGGGACCAGAAAACTGTGAGCTAGCTCACACTGACTCAGCTTAGAGGGAACGCCGGTCAGGATCCTGCATGCAGCATGCAACTGGTCATGTCTGCACCTATCTACTCTGTATATGATGGAGGCACCCAGCACCGTCACCGAAGGCAAGCGTAGAACGTGGACCGGTGAGTAACTCCGGGAGGGAGAGATTCCCAGCAGCTTCTCACTCAGTAGCGTCAACAGCGTCTGTGGCCCCAAAGGACACTCCTGCCCTGGACTGGTCAGCAAAAGCCGGGGGAAGGGGGATGTGGACAAATAAGCCCCCCCCGCCAATGTTCCCTCTAAGCTGTGGAGTCTTGTGAGCAAAAATTCTCCTTTGTGAGCTCCTGGCATTAAAGTTGGGAGCGAGCGATTGGGCTGCTGCATAAACCAGTTTGCTCTGGAGCCGTCCTCCCTGAGCTGAGACAGAAATCTGTGAGCCGGAGGCGAAAAAACTGTGAGCTCGCTCACACTCACTCAGCTTAGAGGGAACACTGCCCGCAGCATAAAAACACTTTGACAGATTCTCCCAGTTAAGCATAAACTCCTTGTGAGGTAGGTAAACACCACCACCCCAAATTCTGCAGAGACAAAAAGAGGCAGCGCCTGCAGCACCAAACGGACATCAGAGCCGACGTGGAAGTCGGCCCGATGGCAGAACGCCTTTCCTCTCTGAGAAAGACATCCTTCCGCCCCGACCTGGATAGCCCAGGCAAGCCAGATCTCATCAGATCTAAGCGGGGTCGGCCCCCTGGCTAGTAAATGGATGGGAGACCTCCCTGGAATACCAGAGGCGGGAGGCGGGGGCAGGCTTTTTATTCGGCAACCTCTCTGGATATCCTCCGGGCCCCCAGTAGGGGTCAGTCACCAGAGGTCGCCATGACTTCCAGGGACGCACACACTCAGAAATGAAAAATACCCCCCCCAAAAAAAAGGCAGCCCCCCCCCTCCCCGAGGCCTGGCTACCTTGACACCCTCAGACGACTCCCCCCTCCATGCCACCCTGAGAGTCCTCGCAGATCGCTCCTGAGCTTAGACCATCCACCTCTGTACTTTCTGTCTACCGGCTGGGCTTCCAGCTAAAAGACAGTAGTCGCCTGCATAGACACCGCCAACGCTCCCTCTAAGCTGTGGAGTCTTGTGAGCCAAAGTTCTACTTTGTGAGCCGCTGGCATTGAAGTTGTGAGTGAGCGAGTCGGCCACTGCCTAAATGACTTTGCTCTGGAGCCGTCCCTTCCCGAGCTGAGACAAAAACGTGTGAGCCGGAGGCTAAAAAAAACGTGAGCTCGCTCACACTAGCTCAGCTTAGAGGGAACACTGGGCACCACCACCACCACCAGCAGCACCCGCCCCGCCCTAATAGCCAAGGGCTCCAAATAAATTTGGCCACGACAGCACCGGTTTTGTACACAATTTTACACAATTCCAAAGTGGTTCGGACCCCAACAGCGAAAGCTGACATGGAACCTGTATGGATTTACTGCTGCTGCCGACGTCAGTTTGCGAGCCCCCCGCCCCCCATGGATAGCTTATTACACATCATGTATAATTTATACAACGACCACCCCCACCTCCCGTAACAGATCTCGAACGTATACAGCTCTCCAGCGCTTCCTGCCAGCGAATTCCGCAAGATGTGACGTTCCAGGGGTAAGGTGGCCAAGTACAGTAATGGACGACGACGGGATTGTCAGCCACTCGGACGTGCAGGTCCCACACGCGCACACCATGCATCGGGTCTCGCTCCTGCTCCGGCCCTTTCGACCAAGGCCCGTCGCGCGGTCCCCCGTTCCCCCCGGACGGGCGGCAGGAGCCTCTTTTACGGACGGCGGCCACCGCGTCAGTTTTCCTCCCCCTCTGATGACTCCTCTTCGGCCTCCTCCAGCCACTGGATGAACTTCTGGAGCTGAGGGGAACGATCGAGAATGCAAAGGCGGTTAAAAACTCGACAGACTGTCAGCAGAGCCGGTTTGGTGAAGTGCTTAAGTGCGCGGACTCTGATCTGGGAGAACCGGGTCTGATTCCCCACTCCTCCACCTCCAGCTGCCGGATGACCTTGGGCAAGCCACAGTTCTCTCAGAGCTGTTCTCTCAAGGGAAGCTCTTGAAAGAGCTCTCTCAGCGCCGCCTACCTCACAGGGTGTCTGTTGTGGGGAAGGCGTTTGTAAGCCGCTCTGAGACTCTGAGTGAAGGGCAGGATAGAAATCCCTCCTCTTTCGCGGGCCTATATATGTTAATTGGATCTGCTGGATCTGCAGAACACCTGATACCAATTGGCAATCTCACTTGACTGACCAAGTGACATAACCAGTGACACCAATGCTCAGCTGGCTTACTTCACTGGGCTGACATCTGATTGGCTAGCCTAAATCATGCCAGCGCGGGACGCAAGGCATAAAGCAAAGACCCTTCGCTCCAGTTCAGCTTGGCTAAGCCATAGCTTGAAGCTCCTGGCCCTTGTCTCGGGACTCCTCGACTGGGGCGGGCCAGGACTTTGAAACCATCTTGGACTTTGCCTTAAGTACCCCTCTGGATTAGAGAACCATTGTCTGAACCAATGTTTGTAAGCACCTAGAATTAGCTATCTAGCTCTGTTACTTTATTCTCACTGTTCCTCGCTCTTCGTTGTATTCTTCCTGCACGTCCTTTTCGTAAATTACTTCGATTACATTTCGGTGTGTTCTTGCATTTGGGAGGCTTCAGTCTGTCCTTTGGCCCCAGCTGGCTATAGCTAGCTTGTTTTGGGGATTCACCTTGTGGGGTTGCAAAGGTTGGTTTCTTGTTTAAACCTAGGGAGGGGTGGAGACTTGGTCCCTGGTTGTCTGGGAAGTCAAGGAGACTGGTGGCAGCATAGAGATGTGAAAGCCCGGGAAAAAACCGGGAAAATTCAGAAAAAAACGGGTTTTTCCCCGTTTTTCCCCGCGAAGCCTTTTTGGTTTTTTCCCGAAAAATTGGAAAAATTGAAAAAAAGAAAAGAACAGAAAAATGATTATGGAATGTTTTGTTTTAACATGATGAATAAAATATTTTAAAGACAAAGTATTCAAATGTTTTCCAAATAATTTCTAAATCCCAAATCCCTTCTATACACTTCCCCCCTCTTCAGTTATTTTTATGAGAATGGGTTTTTTATTTTTATTTAATGCTATGGAGAGACAATTTGAATAATTGTTACTTCTGGATTTTTAAAATTGTTTTGTGGAGGGTTTTTTTTTGCCTGTTCCACATAAACTAGTAGCCAGTTCAGGAGATTGTTGCTCCATTTGTTACAATTACAAATAAATATTATTTAAAAAGTAAATTCTGTTTGCAATAACTGTTTGGATATACTATATTCTTAATATGCTAGTTGTGATTTAAACGATTTTAATTAACCTTTAAAAAAACACCATAATCTTAATATGCTAGTTGTGATTATTTCATGACAAGTAAAATTGTCCGTAGCCATATTTTATGTTCCTAAAGTAACAAAATGACTTTCAATCTGGAAAAGAAAAAAGGCTAATGTAGCTTTTCTCCCTTCAAATTTTCCAAAAAAATTTCTGTTTTTCCAAAAAAACCCACACACACTCCCCCCCCCCCCCCCTCTCCTTCACAATTTCCAGAAATTTTACATCTCTATGGCAGCAACACTCTGAGATGTGTGGAGTCACACTGCAGGTCTTTTGCTTGGTCTGCCCCTTGGCTCAAACCCCAGCCCCTCTCTTGGAATAAGCCCTCCGAGCAACACTGTGGAAATAGAGGACTGTGATAAGACACCTTTGGGATAAAGAGATGAGAATGTGGAGGATGACATATCAAGGTCGGTTATATGACGAAGGAGACCACCTAGGAAGACTTTGCAGAGGAAGACAATGGCGAACCACCTCTGCTTCTCACTTGCCTTGAAAACCCTATGGGGTCATCGTAAATTGGCTGCAACTGGAGCCAATTTACACACACACACACACACACACACACACACACACACACACACACACACACACAGAGTCTTGAGTCTCAAAAGCATATACCATGGAAATCTTGTTGGGTCTTTAAGGTTTTAAATGACTGAAATGTTGCTCTCGGATTCAAAGTCCACGACAGTCTCCGAAGCCTTCAAGCTAGACTACACAAGTGTACTCTGCATGGGACAGCCCTTGGTGGCAATTCGAAAGGAGCAGCTGATGCTGGATGTCAATCTTTTGGTGGACCTGGGCAGGCAAACTGGTCACAACGTGTCACAAAGACACTACACGGTCCGTGACTGCGTGGATAAGAGAATGACGGCTCTTTAACATCTGCCAAAAGGCAAACGTGAAAGAGACGTTGGAAACACAGGGCCGGCCTGTGCCCTCAAAGCAGCATCAATCTCCAAATGGGAATCTCTTCTGTCTTCTGGAATAAATCTCTGAATGTGACGGAAACAAAGTTGGTGGTGGGGAAGTCCTGTCGAGTCACACCCCATTTATGGTGAGCGCCCCTCATGGGTTTTTCAGGCAAGAGACCACCTAGGAGGTGGTTTTGCCATCGCCTGCCTCTGCGTAGCGACCCGGGACTTCCTGGGCGGTCTCCCATCCAAGTTCTAACCAGGGCCGACCCTGCTTAGCTTCTGAGATCTGACAAGATCGGGCCAGCCCGGGCCATCCAGGTCAGGTGGTGGGAAAGTGCGGTCAAGTCACAGCCAACTTATGGTGACCTCACAGGGTTTTCAAGGTAAGGGAGGTACAGAATCGGTCTGCTATGGCCTGCCTCTGAGTAACAACCCCGGTCTTCCTTGGTGGTCTCCTAAAGTAAAGGTCAAGGTTCCTCCTTGCTCGAAAGCCAGTCGAATCTGACTCTAGGGTTGCGGTGCTCATCTCCGTTTCCAAGCCGAAGAGCCAGCGCTGTCCGAAGACGTTTCCATGGTCATGTGGCCGGCGTAACTAAACACCAAGGCCACGGAACACTGTCACCTTCCCACCGAAGTGGTACCTATTTATCTACTTGCGATTTCTTGCTTTCGAACTGCTAGGTTGGCAGGAGCTGGAACTGGAGACGGGAGCTCACTCCGTCATGCGGCACACTCGGGTCTCGAACTGCTGAACGACCGGCCTTCCGCAGCCTGCAGTTCAGCGTCTTGGTCCCCTACCCAAGTGTTAACCAGGGCCAACCCTGCTTAGCGTCCGAGATCTGATGAGACCAGGCTAGCCCGGGCTGTCCAGGTCAGGGCAGGATAATGAAGCTGGGGGAATATATATTTATTTATTTATTTATTTATTAATTATTTAATTTGATTTATACCCCGCCCTCCCCGCAATCAAGACAAGTGAAAAAGCCTTAATAGCTGAAAAATGGATTACCACAGAGATGGAATTCTAGGAAAAAATAGGTGAAGGTGTGGTAGCCAGTTTGGGTGAGAGACTTAAAATGTCGGCGGCAGGAGAAAAGGAAGAATTTGACCTGGATATACAAATAGGAGAGCTTACTTACGAGCAATTTAAAAGGTTTTTGACAGTTACAATCAAAGAAGCAGTGACAACAGCATGCAAAAACCTGTTTAAAGAATCTCGGGACTTACAAACTGACTTGGCAAATGTAGACGAGGAGGACTTGAAACAAGATTCTCTTTATATTGGTTGAACATCAAGACTATGGCCAGGAGAGGGAGCTACCAAATAAGCAATCTCCAATCACACAAAATTTGGGCCAGAAGATGGAGACCCATAGAGACTATCATGTAACAATAGAAGCGAAAAAAGGATCTATCTTAACTGCCTTAGTGAAAAATAAGAATAAAAAGAAGCAAGATAAGAAGTCAAGAGATGATGAGAAAAACTTTTAAAAACATAAAAGAAAAATAATTGGTTTATGGAAACAGAAAAGGGAAAACTGGGATCTGAGAAGACAAGAATTTAAAGACATTAGACATAGAAAAGAGATCCAGAAAAAGAAGATGACATCAGAAAGATGGGGGAATAAATGTTGGCCAAGAATTTTGTGCGTGCATAGGACATTTCTCCTTGTTGAAATAATGGCTGTGAAGAAGGAAATGGCTAAGGATGAGAAATTTATAAGATATGTTGTCCCAAAAAGTAATTTGAAGATGTACTAGAGATCATGATTAGGCTGAAAGTTCTATTCTATTCTATTATTATTATTATTATTATTATTATTATTATTATTATTATTATTATTTTATTTTTTCTGTTTGTAAACGGCATTCTGATATATAAGTATTTAATATGATTTCAATGGATTAATAAGGATATGCATTGGGAAGGGAATGGTTATAGAAACCCCTACCTTGTTGATTATTATAACGTACATTGAATATAGCTGGGATTTCAATTTAGTGGTAGATAATATCCCAATTTATGGTATTTTGATTATTTGGGGTTTTATTATTGACTCATTTTGTTTGTATATTCTGGACCAGGAGACCCGACCATGCCGAGCCAACGGAGAAACAGCAATAGCCACCACAGAGGGGGTGCCGGTAGGTTGTCCCACCCCCCCTTCATACATTGTGCATACATTGTGGAACACAGGTGATTAGCACCAGAAACCCTGTAAGCCGCTCTGAGACCCTAGCCATGGGACAAGAGCGGGATATCAAGTCTAATGTAAATAAATAAATAAATAAATAAATAAATAAAATGGAATTAAATTTGGGTACTTTGATTTAGGATTAACCTAGATTATAGTAATAGGATATAGATGTAAACTTTGCTTAAACTCTAAATGAAACCTGAATACTTTGGATAATTATAACAGCTCCATAGTAAAGAAATAATCTTAATATGTAAATAAAATAATTACTATGAGTTTGAAATGTTGAAAATTTATAGATATAATTGGGGAGCACTAGTATTGTGATATATGAAACACGTGAGTAGTAATATTATGGGGATAAAAACAGTTGTGCGAGGTGTTATGATTAAGGAGTAATGCACTGTCTTGGTATGAGGTTTGATGTGCTCAAAAAAATCGGTGAACTAGGTGTATGTTGGTGTCTTTGTATGTCACGATTTGTGGAAACTAATAAATATATATTTTTAAAAAAGATAATGAAGCTGGGGCCCTTTAAAACCAACACTCACAGCAGGTGACGTACCACGGCTACAGTCCTGGTCTATGCCCACCAGTCCCACCAAAACAGCAGGCGTCCACAAGGCTTGCTCAACCACAACCGAGCCCCAGCTAGTAACACTCTCCCAGGACCACCCCGGCCTTCTTAAACTGCGCGCAAGGTGGCACACGAAGCCGCTCAAACAGGCCTGCTCTACTCGTCCCCTCCCCCGGCTCACCCGCTGGTTTTTACGGAGCTGCCCGCCTTTCTCGGCGGTATCGCGTTGAGAAAACCAGGTGAGAATCGCCTCTTCCGCCAAGATCTCCAGCTGGTAGAAAGTCATCAGCACCTGCAACAGAGCAGAAGTGGTCAGAAGGCTACTGCAATTGCACACATGAAGCTGATCTGAATATTTCAGGTCCTTGCGTTCTTTTAA